TTGTTTATAACTTTATATATTCTTATATTTTTGTTATGGAAATTTTATTTTTATTTTAAATAATAGGAATGATAACAAAAGGAAGACTTGCTTTGATTCTATTGATTATAAAAGCATAAACAATATTGAGGAATGGGCCATGGAAGAAGATGATTCTCCAATTCTTAATTATGATGAATTGGAGAATATGATCTATAATGATAAAACAATGCCAATACGTCATATAACTCAAAAAGAAGGTTAGTGACTAATCAAAGTTTATCTTCATTTCATACTTCATAATGTTTTAATTTTAAATTTATTATGTTATTTTGTGATTCTATGAATTATCTTGTTGATTATATGAGTTAGGTATTTTTTATGATTTATTTTGTTGATTTTTATTTATTATATGTGTTTGTTTTTCAACTTTTAAGGTGGCACTCATAATATTAATGAAGAAGTGCAAGGTGGTAAAGAAGGATCATTTCATATTGGTAGTGCAAGTGGGGGAATTGATTTGGAATCAATTGGTGAAGAAAATGATGATAGTTATGATAGTGAAAATGATTTTAATGAACGTGATGCTTGGTTTAATGAAGACCCTCCTCATCTTGGGGATAAACAATGAATAATTGTAATTTATATATTATTTGCATATTAGTTTGTTTTTGGACTTATTTTTCAAATATATATATGTGAGATTTATTAATTTTGAGATTTATAGTTGTATGATACTTTTTTTATGTATTTATTGAGTTGTTGGATTTTTTTAATGTATTTATTGAGTTTTTAGAATTGTTTTTATGTGTTTATTGGGTTTTTGACTTGTAGTTGCTAGCAATTGCAAGGAAAAAAAAGAGAAAACTGCAGCAGAATGATGCGGGAAACACTGTACTTCTGTTTTTGCATTTTGCCTTTGACCCGGCCGGTCGGTTGGTTGAACCAATTAGACCAATCAAATCGAGAATCAATGAGCAAACCGATTTTATGTCCGGTTCGAGTTTTAAAATCTTGGGTAGAGCATTATACATGACCAAAATTTGGAAAATTTCCTATACATATAATGAGCCAATTAAATCTTGACATCTAAGTAACCGTAGGCTTCTCTCTTTAGGTATTGGCCCACATTAATTTAATGTATTTAAAAAAAAATAGTAAAGATGATGCTATTGGGATAACTTTTTTGTCACAACTTTTTTGTCTTATCTTTTTATACAACTTTCACGTGTCATTAAATGAGTGGATGCATTCAATATCACAGGTCTCATATGAATTAAAAGAACCAATCATTTTAATGACACATCAGGTTGTATAAAAATATGAAATAAAAAAATTGTACAAAAAGTATTTCCCAATTAATAAACAAACTCCATATCTTAAATTTTAAACATAACTTATAAAATAATATTTATTTAGGTGATAAATCCAACCTTACTGTTTCTTTATACCAAATTCTATGATATACTACAACTTGAATAAATTGAGACTCTAACTTAAGAATCACGAGGCATGTACAAGTAGCTATATTGATCTACAAAAGCGTCTCAATAAACAACTTTTGCATTTACAGAAAAACAAAATCACCACCCTTTGCAGAATAATTTTCCTGCATGTGGGGTTCAAATCCTACTCATGTAACATCTAAATCGTCCAGTACATAATTTATACGTTAGGACAGATGGTCTTGTTTGAGACAACAAAATTGTGAAAACTTTCAGAAAAGGTTTCCTTGACGGCCTATTCTTCGGGGCAACCCAAAATTTTGGTATATCCTGATTTCGCCTCCCAAGGTGGCTGTTACAATCACCAGGCCCCAAGCTGTTGGTAGGATGTTTTGGTTTCCATGGCCGCCAATATCAAACCAAGACCAAGAGGTACTAGAAGTCCCAGAACCAGAAGTAGCAACAGAGGATATAGACGGTGAATCTCCTCGTTTTATGGAGGGTGAATTGTCAATGGAAGGAGCTGACAAAGATGATGAGTCTTCTTGCCTTATTGATGGGGAAGGGCTTAGGTTGCTAGCAGAATTTAAAGAAGGTGAATCGCTGGATTTCTTTATTGATGGGGAAGAGTTCATAAATTGTGTATCATCTGGTTGCTTTATTGATGAGGAAGGGCTTAGGTTGTTAGCTAAATTTATAGAAGGTGAATCATCTGACTTTATGGAGGAAGGGTCTGAACTGAATGACTCGCCGACGCCTGGTTCAGAATGAGAAATTTGAGCAAGCTCTTCTTCTTCCATAGCGGTCTCAGTTTGCTCTGCGTTGTTGTTTTTCTTGGGGAGAGGGGGCAATCCTTTCTTGGTGTTTGGTACTACAGGACTGTCTTCCTTGGTTGGTGACGCGGAACCAGAAGGTGTGTGGGATATCCATCTTGAGTGCCTTCTTGATGGTGCTGACGACAAGGATGGGGGTTCACCCTTTACCACACCAGGCCATGGGATTGCTACTGATACATCTTTACATGGGAATTGTTCATATGCTGCTGTTGTAATCAAACTCTTTTTCCCGGTGCCTGTATTCCTACGCTCTTCACGCCTCCAAACATATACATTAGAATCCTCACTTGCACATATAACATACTTTCCATCCACACTATATGAAGCTGCAATTTGACTGTTGGTATTTCGAAAACCTGTTACAGAGAACATATGTGTTAGCACTTATTACTGACTACAAAAGAAAGATGGGCTGCTTTAGGGAGATATATAAAACCTTTGAATTTATGAACGACTTCTGAACCATCCAATACATGAATCCTGGAATCAGCTGCCGTGACAAGTACTTCAGATGGATTACCTGGAGAAAACTGTTCAAATATGAATTTAATTATGATCCCTTTTAAGAGTGTAGAGTGCATACGAATTGAACTTGAAGGGAAAGGAGAGAAGATTACCTGGAAACCAGTGATCTTTTTAGTAGCTTTCTTTTTGTTCTGAACATCAACCTGATATAATTGATTCAATTTGGATTCTGGATCACCAAATAAGTACAACATTGATATAGAGACTCTGCTATTAGGAAATTAAATTCTATAGGAAATTATGGAGAAAGTGTTTTTTTATAAGAAATGATATACGCATTTGGAACAAACAACAATGCATACCCTCTGTGCTATACATGCGACAAAGACCTTTATGTGATCCGATTAAGGCACCCTTCAATGAAGAAAAATATAATGCATCAAGGGAATGATACCAAATTTAAGCAATCACTTCATATATTAAGCAAAAAATTATAGGAGATACATCACAATGAATGGTTTTCAGGCAAAAACGGTGTTCAAGAGTTGTATAGCTGAACCTGGCCATCAGGGCTGTAGCAAGCAGCAGTGACCATTTCATGAAGATCTGTCCAATCTACAACATGCCGCTCTGGTATGCTCCAAATTCTAACTTTTGCATCAAGCGACCCGCTTATGAAATAGTCATCATCCATTGGATTGAAATGTATACAGGTTACTGTCAAAATAAACATGATCAAGAGCCAATTTAAGCTACGAAAATTTTGATAGGACAATTTCAAAGTTGAGAATGGAAAATCATTTTTACCATAATCATTGTGGGCAAACATCTTTATACAGCTCTTAGTTTCCAGGTCCCATAACCTAACAGTTTTGTCCATTGAAGATGAAAGCAAATGCTGCAAGTTCACAAAGGAATTAGCCTCCATAAAAAAGTTACTAATGACAGTTCTCTATTTCGGAGCATTAACAATAGGAATGGTGAGAATCTAACCTGAGACTGTGACCAGGACAAATCCAGAACATCATCCTGATGACCCTTTAAAGAGCAGACTGGTTGCTCCGAAAGAGAAAACACAGTTTCAGGTACATGGACATAATCAGGAATTTGGTTGCCCTTTTTGTTAGCTGATCCCTTTCCTTTCTTCTTCTTGTCCTGTTGAGCGCCATCTTTCTCCACGGAGTTGCAGAGGGATGGATGAAGTGGTGTCAAACTACCTTCATTTATCGACATAACCTCACATTCCTGCACTTCCCACACATGAATCACCTTATCCTCGCCTGCACTAGCAAGGAACCGGGCATCGGAACTGAACTTCATAGTCCAAATTGAACCCTCATGGGCCTGAATTTCTTGACACAAATGCAAAGCACTCAATTCCTTGAATGACTTCCCGGTAGTCCTAACTTTCATCCATTCATTACTCCCATTCTTTACAGCTTTTGAATCCGTCAACATTGCCATTTCCTTTTCTTTCTCCCCCCTTAAGGTCATAGAATTAGCCACGCCCTTTATACTCTTTAACATGGCTACCCCCCTTTTCTTGCTCATTTTCAAGCTCTTAGATATGTATGAATTCATCGGCAACTTCCGACCGTCGCTGCCTACATTTTCCCGACGCATTAACTCCTTTACAACCGGAGAATGCCCCACGCATTTCTCGAATTCCTCCAACGTCAGCTGCTTTCCTGTTTGGAGATCACTGACCTTATTCCACATTCCATCTTGATCATACTCATTCACTATGAACTCTTTGCCGGTATCCAAATTTTTTATTAAGAAAAAGGCACCGAATTTCGTGTTCGAGATTACGGTTGACAAAGCATTCTTGTGACCTGTGGGACGGTCTCTCCTACCATCTTTCGGAGACGCTCGGACGGAATCTTGGTAGAGGCATTTCTTCACCCTCGGCGCTGCTATTAACGATGAGGTTCTAGCGAGGCGCTGTTTTGATATATTCGAACCTAGCATTTCCCCTTTTCTTTGCTTCTCAACGGAGAAAGACTCAATGTCTCCTTCCGACCTTGATCGGACAAGCAAGAAAGTAACCGGCGACTGAGAAAGCTCCAGTTTTAAGTTATCTTCAGTTTGCTCATCCGTACTCTTAGTCCTAACGTCCGGAGGAGGGGCGTTGGCCTCCGACTGTGGCACCTGACTGGCGGGGACTTGTGTCGAAATGGTGCGTTTCATGCTAAGAATCTGCTGCTTATCTTCAGATAATCCCATCCCTTGGAGAAGACGCTTCCGACGCTCATTAATCGACCCGGGAGCCGCCATCCAGATATCGTAATCCGGCGACATTGGCGAAGTCGAAGCGACCGCAAACGGCATTAATTCTTGGTGATGCTGTGCAGTCGACATGATGGGGGTAACTTCTTGGTGATCCATCATGGTCGAAACGGTGGCGGCAAAAGACATGCGAGCAGCGTCGAAGAAGTCGTCGTCGTCATCGGAGTCGGAGTTAGCGAGATCCATGGGTACGACAGAGGACATCCGGTCGCAGGTCTCAAAGAACTCGTCGTCATCGTCGCGGAGGGCGGCCCAGTTCATGGTCATAGTCTTCCGGCGCTCCATCTTGGAATGATCCATGGTGGTACGTCGGAGGAGAAACGGAAATTTTGTGCGTTTGGATGGGTTTGGGAGTGAAATTCTGGAGAGGAGATGGAAAGGGTGGAAAGGAGGAAAAATAGGGAGGGAGGGTTACTGTTGTTGGTTGATGGATGAGAAACGGAAGAGAAACGGTCAAAACGGTCAAATGTGTGCGTCCAGGTGAATTGGCCACTGTTTTCTTGACACGTCAGTTGATGACCAACTGGGCGATTGGTCAGCATCTCTGCTCTCATGCGTCAACTCCATCACGACAACCAACAATAAAAATACTAGTACTATTTTCCTAAAAAAGATTCTAGCTCTAATATAATAGATAAGATGTTTCATAATATAAATAATAATAATTTATTTAATATATTAATTATTAACTTTTTTATTTTTAATAATTGTGATCGGATTGAATCTTACTTAGAGAAAAGAAGAGATAAAGTGAATCTTTAGGAAAATGACGGATCTCATTCGATTTTATGGATCAAGTTTTATTAACTATTAATTATATTTAAATAATTAATTTAAATATTTTTTATTTTTAAAAATTGAAGAAATAGTTAAAAATATATCAATTTTTTAATAAAATATAAAAAAAGATTTAAAAAA